TAGCTTGTTTTTATAAGCTGGTGTTTTCTTGACCATCTCAATAGCCTAGTAAAAGACGAAATCACAATTTATAACACATGGCGAAGAAATCGTAAGAAGTAAGAAAAAAACTACTTCCATCTCCAACTATAGGTCACTTTCTTCTACTTTTTGTTGAAGTGAAAGGTGGCTACATTTTATTTATGCTAAGATTACCATCTCCCAGAATTCAAAATAAGGAGAACTTTTTATTTGTTTTATTTTATTTTCACCATGATGTAACCTTTCAGCAAATTGCACCTCTTTTGGATCCCAACTGCTATTTGCAATGTTCCCCCTTCCATTGCAAGTCAAACTAGGTAGCCGAAAAGTGAGAAAGGAATATGTAGAAAACCAGGGGCCATGCTATAGAACATGTTATGAAGATTCTTGCTTTATGATTTACTGTCAAATTTTGGGGCATATCTTGGTGATCTATTATTTAAATAGTAAAATTGCAAAAAATGTGGTCTCCTACTCGCCTTATAATTTAAGAAATAGGTAGCTGCCTCACATCAGTCTTAATTCTATAGGTAATTGGAAGCTACTGAATCTTTAGATGCTCATTCATAATAGGGGAGCATTTTGTGAGAATCGTGGTCCAACTTGCTGAAGCTTTTGTTGCTTCTACAGCGTTTATTGCAGCCTTAGATCAAGGGCATTTAGTGTGAATTCACAGAATCTCATCCTTCTCCCTCTTAAATTTTCGGGAATAGGCACAGTCAATGTCGTTAACTTTACCTATTTAAGATTTGCAAAGCATAGCCAGTCCCAAGCCCCGACAAAAGGTGGAGGGTTGCAACAGTTTAATAGCTAGAGTAAAAGTAGTTAGTAGTACAACTATGATTGATTTTCTCTAAATATGGATAGAGGCATGATAATTACTAATTAGATCTCTCTTAGTAATGCCTTTGTTTCTAACATTCTATTGGATCAACATCACCAAAATTTCTCCTTGTTCTCCAAACTCTTTATGATTCAACTCTTTGTTGTTGTCAGTTGTCCTAATTAAACTCCTCAGAATACACTACTTTCTAATGTTCTAGCCACAGAAGAAGACTTGAACAATCCCAAGAATCCCTATTTGCTCAGCTTTCAGTTCTGGTGAATCGTGTTCTTATCCTACAATAATAGGTGAAACAGAACAGGATGAAAAGAGTAACATTGGCTACAGGCTAGAACTGGCCCAATGATGTCGTAGTTCAGCTATTGATTACTAATCACAAACATAAATCATCTAAAGATGCATATCATACTCAAATTTGGCAAGAAACAATAATTATCTTCAAACAACTAATCACACCTTGTAAGATAGGGACATAAAATGATGTATCTTTATATCAGCTAGGTTTACCCAGACAAATACTTAAGGCACACAGTCACCTGTGCAGAATGATTGCTCATATAATCTCACCGATCATAATAGAGCTATTCTTTTCTTTTATTGCGAAGGATCGTGTTGCTCTTAGATCATCAAACTGAAACTTGAGTCATCACTTGAATTTTCAAATCATAAAGCCAAAATAAATGGAAGAAATCAAAGCAAAACAAAAGTCATGACAGCATTCTTCAGTTTCCAGGCTAGAATAAAAAGCTCTTTTTTAACCATGGATTGCTGGTACTGTTACTTTACCTGATTATATCTTGTCCACTGATTCAGATACTGAAATGATGAGAGTATCAGAAGAAGACCAATGAGGACAGCACGGGGATCCTAAAATTTAAAACACAAACAGCTAAGTGAGCATAGAATCAACTTAACATGTATCAATGAAATCTCAAGGTCAAAGTTTCACCCATATGAAGTGTTATGGACAAAAGAAAACAAATATCTGGCAGGAATTAGGAAAAGGCTCTCACAGTTTTGTGACCATAGTAAGCATGGTAATACCGTGCCGTATTGTAGAAAAACTGAAAATTCAAAAGCACGAATAAAAGACATTAGTATGAGACCTGACTATCATCTGTTAATTGAGAAGTCCAATACAATTTCCCAAGATAGTCGAAGACGTAAAAATTGAACCACTAGGACTCCTCATCGTAATTCTATGAATAATTGTTTATGCAAACAATATCTAAATGGAAACTAACCTCCTCTGGATGGGCAAGTGCATAATCATACTGTTCCCTTGTGGCATCGTCTTTCAAAATCTACAAAGAAAAATCAGCCCTTTAACATTTATCACAAAAACATACTACTCCCTCCAACCCAATTATATGACGTCCCAAACTGTTAGATAATGTTTCATTAAGCTAACTTTTAGTTATAAGTACTACTATAATATTTTACTCCATTACAACTAATATAGCAAATAATTAACATCTTAAAGACCCATTTCCTGTTAAACAACTCATATAATATGGGGATGCCGAGGAGGATGTAGAGTATTATTTATGGGTTTATACTAACCCGGTAGCTTTGACTCAAACCATAAATATGTATTAAAAAATTCACTAAATGAGTAAAAAAATTGATTTCAAACCCAGTAATCAAATAAGCTGTGGTAGAATCCCAAACTCTAACCCAAAAAGTTCAAATCCTGGATCCGCTTCTTATGGGTAAAGGGAGTATTGGTTTTAGATCAGATGCATCTCACTTAATGAAAACACAATGTGCTGACCAAGGGCCACAAGAAAGTTCATTTTTCTATACAGTATGAAATTAACACTCCATTAGGATTGACCCAAATTCACTCCAGTTATGCCAATTCCATCTAATTCTTTCATATTTTTTAATATATGTATATAACTGAAACCATAATATGATGTGCTAACTGATGCCAAGAAAATTACTGAAGCAAAACAAGAAAAAAGAAAACAAAAACCTGAAAAATAGATTGAAACCAGAATATTGATTACCTCATAAGCATTTGCAATTTTGACAAAAAATTTCTTTGATTCTGGATCGGGATTTTTATCTGGATGACTAAACAAAAAAATTATCAACAACCTCCACCAAACAAATGATACGAATATCAACAGAAATAGGAGAAGGAAAAAAAATTACTGTTTCAGAGAGAGCTTGTAATAAGCTTTCTTTATTTCAGAAGCATTCGCATTTTGAGCCACCCTACCAAAAATAAAATAAAATAAATTAGTGAAAAAAATGAAGAAAATGAATTAAAAAAGGATATATAGTGTAATTGGGAGATTTGATTACCCAAGGAGATCGTAACAGTCATCTTCATCACAGTAAATGGAGGAAGAAGGCTGAATCAGAAGGGAGAGCACTATTGTTACTGTGAGCGCAAACCACTGCATCATCGCTCTTCTTCCGGCCATCTCCGGTCGTCGACTTTTTTTTTATCTCCGCCTCCGACAAACTCAGATTGCGTTTGTATATGAAGGCTGCTTCTATATGGGCAAATTGACGTTTCTGTCCTTAAATCGTTGACTTCTCCTTTCAGTCAAATCAGCTCAACAAGTTTTATGATTTCAATAAGGTTCGTGCTATATAATGTCAATCGTTCTAATTTTTCTGATATAAGTTAGTATTCTTTATTCTAGACAACTAGATAATTGAAATTTAATACGAAAAACTTTACTCAGTTTTGATTATATTAATCTTAGCGTACGCGTTTTGCGCATGTACCTATATTAATGAGTATATAATATTAAAAAGTTACATTAGTATTTTTATCAATATATTTGAGTTATAAAATAAAAATTAAATAGAAAATATAAGTTTATGAAAATGATAATGTTGGTCGAAAGAGGACTTTCTACATATTTAAGTAACCATTTCTAACTACTTTTAATGAATTTTAAAGTCCTATGAAATATGACTTCATGCATAAATGAAAAGAGGCATTTTCGTACTTTTAGAGTATATGCAACTATGTGTCTATCCCACGTGTAATTATAATGTGTCATTTTAAAAGAACTTATTAAATTTGATGTTGAATAACAGAGTATTGTAATTATAGAAATTAGGCTATGTATATCTAATTATCGTATTTATTAGAATGTTTACATTTTGTTGCATGAATTATAAAAGGTGCGTTTGGTCAAAGGATAATGGATATTCTATTGTATACCAGGGAATCAATCATAATTTTGCACGTAAAGGGCTTTTCGAGGGGCGACTCAATAAGTTTGGTGGCTTAAAACCAAACTTCAATGTGAGACCTTTTTAAAGAAAAATCATATATAATTTTAGTTGAAGTAGATTTTTCTAGCTTTTTTAGAATAACATTATTTAAAATTTTTTTGAATAAACCATCTAATCTCTCATGTGCAATATTAATCTTAAGTAATAGAACCTGATTCAAGAAGTTGATGACTTTGTATTAAAAGAATTTCTTGATGTTTCAATATACTTGTTGCAATGATGAGAAACCTGAGTAAAAAAATAGAGTTTAAAAGTGTATTACATATTTTCTAATGATTAATGTAATCCTTTTTTATATAAAACATTTTACTTTTCTACTTTGAAATACTTAATATTTTCTTACAAAGATTTGGGGCCTCATGAGAAGAGTTGTGGTGAGATGGATATCATATCTCCTTCTTTAACTAGAAGTATTCGATTTCAGTAGTTGAAATGAAAAACAAAATCCCTTCTAAGGAACAGTTTTCACTTTAATGGACTTTACACGGCACGAATTCGAATTCATCAATACCCCAAAATAATTACCGAACATCAAATAATAATTGAAAAACAAAAAGTAGGGCCTCCAAAATTCTGGGGCCTAAAGCCACCGCTTTAGTGTCTTTACCCTCTTGCCGCCCCTGGGCTTTTCTATTTCTTTTTACTAAGATATTTAAATTATGCAAAATTTATGGGAACTCTACATTTGATAATAAATCTAGAATTAAGAATAAGAAAAATCGAAGAAGTGCCGGTCGACTTTATCGACTTCCGTTATAGTTTTAACTTTGTATTTCTCTAATTTCTTTTTTACTAAGATAAAATTAATTGATTATAGTTGCGCCAAAGAGTAATTCAAACATACAATAAGTAATAACTTGAAAATAAAACTCAATGAAAATTTATTGTAGACAATAAATTGCGTCGAGAAAATAAAATTAAGACCGAAAAAAATCGCAATAATCGTAGTATTTTATTTCGAATATCTGAGTGTACAATCTCTATCAATCATCTAATTCTTCTTTTCAATAGTAAATAAATTCAAGGGCCTTTGAGCTTGATCTTGAATATGTAGTTGTTGCCACGAACGATGATCTTGTTCTTGAGCTTGAGCTTGATTGCTTGGACTTGAACTTGATTTGTTCTTCGTTCTTGAGCTTGAACTTAATTGCTTGAAACTTGAAACGTGTGGAGAAATTTGCAACGTTTGATCCACGAGCTCTTTCTTGCTTCTTGTTATAACTTCTGGTGTCTTTTCTGAGTTATGAAGACCCATATTTATAGTTGTGGAAGGGAGAAGTTGTGATAAGAACAAACTCTTTCCGACCAATCAAATTGAAGTGTGACATGGCCGCATTTGATTGGCCAGAACATGTCACTTGCACACATGGCGCGATTTCATTAGCATTTTAATGTGACTTGGCATGCCTTGTCATTTTGACACGTGACTGGTCCTATTGACTTTTCCATTTGACTTGGCGTGCCACGTCATTTAACACGTGGCACCAAACTGGGCCTCTAGGAAGATGATATCTTGGGCTTAATGAGGTGGGCTCATCAATTGTGGCCCAATTAAATGGGCTAGCCCAATAATATTGGACTTATACAATTAATCTAATTATATTAGTCCAAAATATTTATTCGGACTAATATATTTAAAATATAATCCAAATTATTTATTGAATTTGAATTCAATAAAAAAAATTTATATGCCTACAAATGCCCCTTACTTCAAGACTTATCAAAATATCAATTTATCAACTTTAAAAGACGAAGTTTGAAGCACGCATGCTCAAATGCTTGAGCCAATGGCAAGTTGCTTGTCATAAGAATGAAAATTATCAATTTTCAAGCTTTCCATGATCTTTAAACTTATTTTATTTAAATTAATATCATTGCCAAGTTGAATAAAATTTCCAACCTTGTGGATTCCAAGATTATGTATGCCTACGTTGGATGCCAAATCAATTATGGCAATTATAATGGATAGAGAAAAGGAAAGTCACTAAAGACAATGCACTTTATCATTCCAATACATCCCAATTCCTTGTGTAATACAAAAGACGTAGTGCAAGCATACACCATTACGGTTTCGACAGGGAGCACATTGAATTGCTTGAATCCTATCACTATCGATGTATTTATCCTACTTGCTCCGTGAAACTTGTCTTTCATTCTCCAACTAGTATTGTCAAAACGCTGGCACAACTAGTATTTCTAGTATGAGTAGCAATCAAATTATAGAATCCCAATTCATGATGAATACTAATTGTGATAGCCGCCCTTCTGATCCCACATCGAGAAACAAACTTCTCAATGTTCTCTTTTACCATCTATATAAACTCGCGGGCTCGTAATTGTTAAGCATTAATTCGCATTTTTCGCAAGCCACTTGAATCTAGTTGGACTTGGAAGCATCAACGCTAAGGTAATTTCTTCTTCTTTTCTGCTTTTCTTCCTTTGTTGTCTTTTTTCTTTTTTTTTTGTAGGTCAAGCGAGAAAGATATGCTCTTGTTCAACAAGATCCATGCATGAAAAAAACAATCTTAGGGTGTGAAGGGATGAGTACCCATCCCAACCCGACTATCAGAGAGATTACTCTCAATGTGGCCCGACTATCGGAGAGATTACTCTCAAAATGACCCGACTATCGGAGAGATTACTCTCAATGTGGCCCGACTATCGAAGAAATTACTCTCAAAATGACCCGACTATCGGAGAGATTACTCTCAAAACGACCCGACTATCGGCGAGGCCAACTTAAGGTGCAAAGGGGACTCATATGTCCACCTTAAGATTGGAAAATAATAGCTCCTTTTAAGGACAAACTCACGAAGAGGCCAACTTAAGGTGCAAAGGGACTTATATGTCCACCTTAAGATTGGAAAGTTATAGTTTCTTTTAAGGACAAACCCACGAAGAGGCCAACTTAAGGTGTAAAGGTACTTATATGTCCACCTTAAGATTGGAAAGTTATAGTTTCTTTTAAGGACAAACCCACGAAGAGGCCAACTTAAGGTGTAAAGGTACTTATATGTCCACCTTAAGATTGGAAAGTTATAAAGCTTCAACTTGAAGACGACATCGACTTGAACCCTTGGAGAACTTTGAAGATTTGGCGGACTTTGCAGACTTCAATTCGAAGATTCGGAGGGCTTAAACAATTCAACTTTAAGATCGGTGAATTTGAAGATTGAAACTTGAAGACCGAAAGACTTGAAGACTTCAACTTGGGGGGCTTAAATATTTCAACTTTAAGACCGGCGAATTTGAAGACTGAAACTTGAAGACCGACGAACTTGAAGACTTCAACTTTGAGACTTGGAGGGCCTAAATATTTCAACTTGAAGATTGGCGAATTTGAAGACTTCAACATGAAGACCGACGGACTTGAAGACTTCAACTTTGAGACTTGGATGGCCTAAATATTTCAACTTGAAGATCAGCGAATTTGAAGACTTCAACTTGAAGACCGACGGACTTGAAGACTTCAACTTTGAGACTTGGATGACCTAAATATTTCAACTTGAAGATCGGCGAATTTGAAGACTTCAACTTGAAGACCGACGGAGTTGAAGATTTCAACTTGGTGACTTCAACTTGAATACCGACGGACTTGAAGACTCCAACTTGGAGACTTCGACGGCTTAAATATTTCAGCTTCTCTTTTGCTTTACATTGTCCGACTTTTATCTTAGTCGCATAATTTTTAGCTTTACGCGTTTGTAACAAAAGATTCATATCTTGTCGTGGGAGAGTCCAAATAATGAACTATTTGATGACTTCAATATCTAAAATATATCCATTACTTCGAACTAAAAACCTTTAGAATCGTGCCGGATAATATTTTGAAACCAACTTTAGATTTCACCATATTGAAAATTTCAGATTTGCGCAGTGTCACTAAAAAGTTCATATCTCGGTGTAGAAATATCGAAATTGCAAACCATTTAATTTCAAGAAAACTAGACTTCAAGATCTAGAACATATCTAAAATTCTCAATCAAACAACCTCAGAATCGTCCCAAATTATATTTTAAAGTCAACTTTATATTTCACCACGCTATCAATTCCAGATTTGCGCAGTCTCACCAAAGTTCATATCTCGGTGTAGAAATATCGAAATTGCAAACCGTTTAATTTCAAGAAAACTAGACTTCAAGATCTAGAACATATCCAAAATTCTCAATCAAACAACCTCAGAATCATCCCAGATTATATTTTGAAATCAACTTTATATTGCACCATGCTATCAA